CTCCCCCTCCCCAGCGCACTGCTTAATGAGACCGGGGCCAGAATATGATGTCATATTCATGCGCCGGTCTCATTGAGCGGCGCGCTGGGGAGGGGGGAGCAGAGACAGAACAGCCAGCTCCCTCTGAGGCCGCAGCTCTGCCAGCTGCCTGCCGGCCCCAGGTGCCGACGGCCCACCAGGAAATTTCCTGGTATCCCGGTGGGCCAGTCCGGCCCTGATTAGGACTTTCTGTTATTTTATTCCTTTTGCTTTTATCTGTTGTTGATGTAAAGAATTTTGATTATCATCTATATTTTCGTATCCACTGTGACTATTTTTTGCTCATAATAAATATTCATTTATTAAGTTCTGCCATTGTGTGGTAAAGACTCACGTTACCTGAAGAGACTAATGAGTATTTTTACAATTCCTTATAATATAGTGCTAAGTTGTATTTGGTGGGTTTTTATTATTGATTTAGCTAGGGGACCAAGGCACCCCATTTTTAAATTGTCTTAAAAAAAAAGCGTTAAAAAAGTTATATTTATATTATTATGCTTAAGTGTGGGTGGTGTTAAGTGGAATTTTATCATTATTTCCGGTCTAGTGCAGACGAATAGTGAACTTTAATCCTGTCACCACCACAACTACGTCATGCACACTCTGGAAGTAGGGTGCGTTCGTGACAAACAGTACTTAGCCATGACCACTATTGAACTAACTTAGGCATTAGGACTTTGTGGGTCACCGGTCACCTCAGCAGGACTTAGCCGTGAATGTTTTGGAACTGTTTGCAGCATGAGGTGACCGTGCAGTTCCTGGACAATTTGGTCCGATGTTTTGAACCACTGCAACCTGCCAGGAGAGCGTTTTGTGGAGGAAAGGTGCCTTAGACTAAGGGGAACAAACGCTACCTGAGAGCCAGGCCGAGCACCCCGTATTTCAGGTACTGGAACTCCTGGCAAAAGCACCAAACGAACCTGGAACTATTTTGGGCATAGGACCATGTGTGCGGCCTATCAGAACACTGTGGCATTTCCCCTACACTACATGGATCTGAGCGCTATTTGGACAACTTGGGCGCTCAGATCAGGGCTATTTGGGAATGTATAACATGTGAGGTTATTGTATGTTTTTATTATGTGTTGGGGTACTTTTATGTTTTTATATTCTGTGTTGGGCTATTGGTCTTTAACTCAATTATCTCCCAGGCCCAGAGATTCCTGGGAGGGGCTTGTGTTGAATACAATGGAGACCCCTTGCTGGGGTCTGTGCATAAAGGGCAGAGTTTGGCTCATTAAAATCAGCTGTACTCCCGGAACTATGTGTCTGTCAGGAATGTTCGGGGATCCTACACGCAGAAGGCAAATACAAGTAATGTATACCAGACCTTAGGATGGCCAGACCTACACTACACACACAAAAAATAGTCAAATAGTGAGCCAAGGTCAGGGGTACCAGAAACCAGGATCAACGATAATGCAATAGCCGAGGTCAAAGGAACACAGGAAGAGGAATAGTCAAATAAAGCCAAAGTCAGAATACTAGAATACGGAATATGCGCTCATGGGACAAATAAGAACCACAACAGGCCAATGAGTCTCTCCCTGGTTTCTCTTTAAATACCGTGTTCACTTAGGTGGGTAATCACGCCCCCAAAAATTTTCTCGTTCGAACACCTTGGCGGGCCGTGGTGTTCTTAGCGTTATGCCGTTCATTAGCCGCGTCATAAAAGTAGGCAGAGTTATTGTGGCTGCCGTGAGAATCGCTGGGGACAAGCTGAGATTTGGTAGGAGTGTCCCCAATACCATGCAATGTGACGCCAGCCTGTGACATATCCCTGACTGATACACAAGGTAACCTGACAGTGTTGTCTAGTTACTGGGAGGGGAAAGGTCTAATCACTGCTCAGCACCTTGTTTCAGCTCATAGAGAATTCAGCGAGGAAAGTCCTTGTAAGGACTAGAGTATAAAAATACACTTAACGCATTTCACCATACAGTGTATGGTGAAACGTGTTAAGTGTATTTTTATACTGTTTTTTAATCTTGCTACTGTTTTTACTGTTTTTTACATTAAAGTACTTTTTTATTGGACCTATTGCTGCTGCTGCTGGATCTTTTGGGCAATATCATTGGTGGGGATAATACCACCTAAGCGCACTGGATTGAGTAAACTACATTTTGCTCTGGAACATGTGAGTAGGTCTTTTATCTTTTTTATTGTGTTTTGCACTACATATCACGGTTTACACTATTGTGGTTTTATTTGTTTCCTCCTATATATATGTGACGAGACCAATCTCGCCACATTGCATTGGAGAAGCCTGGTTGCTCGCCTGTTGCCTTTGGATTATGGCCCCATGTTAAAAGCCTTCTTTTTCCCCTGCAGAAAAGGCTTATTCTTGCCTTTCTGCCTGGTGTTCGGTAGATTCAATCTACCGAACTAACACACGAATGACTGGACCACCTGGGAGCTGGAGTGTGTCGGCAATTAACCTCCCAGAAGCTTAATTGACGAATGCTGGGTGGCTGCCATTCGTATACCGAACACGAGGTCGCGGACATTTTAAACACGCGAACGCACAGCGGTGTTCGACGCCCAACTCATGGAATTGAAAACGGATACATTTTGGCGCGAACACCGCTGAAGCCGCTGACCTCCCTTCTTGTTCGGTAGAAGTGCACGAATGGCCCCATATTCGATAGTTTGTACCTGAATACACCATACCCCAGATAGCCATCCCGTGGAGTCTATTCGTATGGAGAACAGACTTTGTGAACACTTTGACTCCACGGCGATTGGACTGTGTGCATAGGATCTGAGCGCTTTTGTGCGCTCAGATCCCAGCTATCTGGGGATGGGTTGCAAGTATATATTTTGTGTGATAAATGTAATATTGTGTATTTTATTATTTTACTGTAACCATGTGGGTAATGGAGTTTTGCCTCTGTCCTTGGACATAATTGGATTACTTCCCAATTATCTCCAGGATAGAGGGGAGGGATTGTAATGTATTGGGGGAGTGTTTTAACCATGTCTGCCTGTGATTGGTCATTGTACTATTTGTGTCCCAGTCTCCCATTTGGTCCCCTAGGGGAGTGTCCACCAGGTGGGAGACTGCATAAATACTGGGCAGGTAGCCCTCAGTAAACAGACCACTGCTTGACCCTCAACACAGAGCTCTGTCTCGTCTTTGGGGGGATTTACTGTATGCTGATAGAGACTGATTGCTAGGAGTGTAAGCTGCTTGGGTGCTTTTCCTATTCGTCTGCTACCAGCTATTCATGAGGTTCCAGTTCGGGAGTTTGGAGTGTTATTTTGTATGCAGTTCGAGAGCTTGGAGCATTCCCTTACATGCGGTTCGGGAGTTTGGTGTTCTGCAGTAGCTGTGCCTGTATATCTGGTAGGGGAAGATCTCCTAAACGGCGGTTTAACCCTTTTATGCTGAGGGCTCCATAACATGTGCGTGCATATTTTTATCTATACCTACTCTTGCTCCATAGCCCAACATATTACACCATATACGTTTCTTTTATCTTTTTATTTCTATGAGGATACCTCCCACAACTACAATACGAAGAATCAACCCTGCACTTAATCCTTGGGATCATTTCGCCCAGGAGCATAAGAGTTTATTTTTACTTACTCCTACCAATGTCTTAAATACTACACTATTATATTTCCCTTTTTCCTTTTATACTCCTATGAGGACTATTTAGACGTTGCACCTACCTCGCGTTTTTTTTATCCAGCTTTTAATCGGGAGAGAAAGACTCCGCATTTGGTGTTTTAGCTGCCATTGGACTGTAATTATATTACTTAAGCGCTGAATTATTTATTTTTATGCTATTCTGTATCCGGATTAACAGTACCCAGAGTAACAATACCCCAGCACAGAGAGTAACAATACCTAGGCATAGAGAGCAACAGTACCCAGGCATACAGAGTAACAGTACCCAGGCATATAGAGAAACATAACCCAAGCATACAGAGTAATAATACCCCGGCATAGAGAGTAACAATACTCAGGCATAGAGATTAACAGTACCCAGGCATACAGATTAACAGTACCCGGGCATACAGAGTAACAGTACCCATGGTTAGAGAGTAATAGTACCTAGGCATGCACATTCATATATATTAATGTTGTATTTTTCCTATTATTGCAGAATAGTGATATATTTTAAATGGAACACAGGAGAACAGAACATTGATGAATGAAGACACAGAGACAATGAAGACATTTGTTGTGAACATAGGAGGTCTGGGTTATGAATTCTGTACAGAGACACACACGTCTGGTCATACACAGACTCAGACTCACTGATCATTCTCTTATATGTTAAATTGTCTTTGGTCACTTTGACGCCCTGTTGCTGTATCCAATAAATTCTACATTAACTACATTAAAATTTGAAGTTTATGCTTATAGTGGTAATCCCTCCTGGGGACCCAAGGAAGCCTGCCTGGCTATCTTCTCCACTAACCCTAAGGATATTCCGTTCTGTTACATAGCTAATCTATAATCTCCCACCAGGTCAAATTCACTATCTGTCTCTTACTGGAATACTATTGTATTACAAATGCTAAAAAAAATTAAACAGACCATAGCCCTTGGCTGCCATTTCAGTACTTGGTTCCTGATTTCCTCACTTAACTTCCTCACTGCATCATTTTTGCTTTTATGTAAATCGCTATCTCTTTCACAGAGATAATACCAAGTTCCCTAATGGTCTCTACCCTCTTATCTGTTGGAACTTTACACAACCTGTTATTTGTTTACTGTATTTATACAGACATGTGGCGCACACATCCACCACATATGATTAGTGGTCTCCCAGCTGGAATATCCTACTAATCATAGTGAGCAAAGAAGTCTAGAAGATCCTTTTGACATAAAGTTGAATAGACAATAACAGACAATACTGGAAACATTTTAATATCTTGCCCTGTGGGTACTTTCTGTTAGTATTTAAGATGAGGCTTTAGGCCCGTGACATTTATTTTGTCTTATTTGTATTTTCATAGGTATAATGGGCACCAAGATGTGGACCCCCTCCTGCCGAGAGGATCTTCCATACTTCCTGATGCAAAAAAACAAACAGGAAAATGTAAAAGAAAAAAAACAGCGTCTGAGGTTAGTGGAGTGACATCACCATTGCATCTGTAGACCCACTGAAATACATATATTTAAAATGGCTCTGTCACCTTCTGGGGTGTTTACATATTTTGCAAAGACCGGGGCGGTGATGGCTGCATTTACATTCCAGTGGCCGAGGAGTGCCGGGGAAGGTAGTTTTAGTGGCCTTAACCTGTCCCTTGCGTGCACCACCATCTTCTTCCACAAAGTCCTCTTCAGGAGCAGACATCAAGTTAAAGGAACACTATATATTCTGGTAATGCATTCCCAACAAATATGTGTTCCTAACACTATAGTGCCCTAGGCACTGTATACATGACAGGGGCCCAGAGAGGATAAAAATTTTTTATTTCACTTGGCTTTTCTTCCTCGAAGTTCCAATCTCCGTAACCCCTTAAGGACACACGACATGTGTGACATGTCATGATTCCCTTTTATACCAGAAGTGTGGTCCTTAAGGGGTTAAAGATGCTCCACCTCATTGATCTAGATGATCTCACAATCCAATTTTTTTCACATAGAAAAAACGCTACGCTGCGCCAAATGGTCTCTCTGAGACAGTCTGTTTGAAATAGTGTCATTTTCCTCCACTGTTTTGTGGTAGCAGCTAGTGGCTGTCAGTATGACAGTAGAGGCAGGTTAACCCTGCAAAGAAAACAGTCAGCATATCTCTCGGTGTTATTTTAAAACATGGCCTGTATCAGTACTTTATAGTACTTTATTGTGGTAAATAGACACCCAACTGCATTTATTATTTTCAGAACCTCAAATACAACAAAATGTACCAAAATTCCTTAAAAGAAACAAGTCAGACAAAAAATACTCTTAACTGAATCTTAAAGTTTGGAGATAAAAACAGATTTGTTTCTGCAGTCTACTTTATATCTGCTGTGTACCAACAAATCCAAAAATGTGCTTACCTTACACACAACTAAATATGCTGTTTGTAAATTCACATTTGTAAAAATTAAAAAAATAAATTAAATGTTGAATCTTTATTGAAGATTTTTTACCCCTGTGCCTGTACACTTACCTTCTTAAAACAAACAACCTTTCAAGCCATCCTATTACACGTTGTAAGTAAGTTACTGGTGCTGGTTACATTATCTCTATTGTAAACTGCCATAGTTGTCCAAGCAAAGCATATTGGCTTAAAGGGACCCCATACACACCAAAATAACGTAATAGCTTAATGAAGTGCACAGATCATGCCCCTGCATTCTATAGTTTTAATTATCTGCCATTAAGGAGTTAAATCATTTTGTTTATGCAGCCCAAGTCACATCTTCCCTGGCTGTAACCTACACAGTTGCCCTAAACATTTCTTGTAAAGTGAGAACTAAAGTTTAATCTTAATTTATTGCACAGTCTGTTTGATTTAGAATTTCTTGTCTTCTGCTCTATTAATTGCCAGTCAGAGCCTGCAGAAGCCGCCAGTGTGTGATTAAAGTTCAATTAACAGGGATAAAAAGGATAAAAACGTCTAATGTAAACACACTGTGCTGTCAGATATAATTAAAAATGTAGGCTGTGTGAGTCACAGCCAGGGAAGGTGTGTCTAGGGCTGCATAAGCAAAACAAAAAAAAAGTGATTTAACTCTTAAATGGCATATAGTCAGTGCTTCAGCTTGAGATATTTGCACTTGTGTGCTTGGGGCTTGTTGCACCCCCACCACATTTGACATTGGCAGTCCAGAATTCCAGACTTCCTAATATGATTCTGTGCATATTTTATGCATCTTGTCAGTGCGCACTGCATGCTCTCAACAGAGTTGAAAATCTTCTCCTTGCAGGAAGAGTACCTGAAAAGGGACGACAGCTTTCCCCTCCCTCCCAGTGTGTACTTCCTCTGTTGCTGGAAGTTCTTATTTTTGTGTTTTTATATGTTTTAAAAACCCTCTCTCTTTTCTCCTCCCCACTACCGCCCTCCGCCTCCCTCACACCCCTTGCGGACCTGAGTGCACACAATTAGTATGTACGCGGCCCCTGTGACGTCGGACAGGGCAAAGATCCGGACTGTGAGCTTCACGAGACGCTGGAATCATCAAGGTGAGTAAAAAAAACTTCCCCCCAGCTTTTATTGCAAACAGAGGGGCCAGTCCATAGTGCCCCCGTAACCAGTAACATATCCCTTTAAGTTAAAGTTGTTTTGGTGCTTAGAGTCTCCCTTAAATATTCATGTGCCCCAGTGTTTTATTATACCTTGACATTCCGCAGGTGGGTGACAGCCTCGTTACTGCAGCCATGTAATGCACTCCGTGGTTGTTTAGCGTTTTGTAAATTTGGATTTTCTTGCAGGACATCTGTATCTCTTGGAAACAGGAAATATCTCTGGTCTCTGCCAACATCCAACAGCTTGGGTGCCTGTATACTACAGACGGTGGAAAGAGAAATGTGTCTTTTGTTTTTTTTGTACATACGATGCAATTTTCCAAATCCATTCTTTTGTTTTATATCTGATTTATTTAATGTTATTAAAAGGTAACATTTAAGAACATTTTGGAATTTGAACCTTTATGGACTGATATAGAAGCACAGTGTCGGTGAAGGTGGTGGAGAGTGTCCTGCATACTCACAAAGCGGTCCTCGCAGCTTGTTTCTAAAATAGATAGAAAGATTCAAATGTTGCAAAAAAATTCCTCAAAAATATCTTGTATCTAAAAACAAAAAACAGTATTAAGGGTAGATGGTAAGAATTTTTTTTTCATGCTACTGAATAGCACTTGGACTAACACAGGAGGAGTATATATTTTTTCTCGCTATATAAGCTGCTTCTGATCTGAAAGATTCAAATCAATGGAACCGTTATGTCTCCTAGTAAACTACTTTAACCCGTCCTTTTCTTTTCTCTCATATTGTTTTCTAATATGATTGATTGCTCAATCTCCTAGTCCAAAAGTGCTAAATCCTACTTTTTCCCCAACAGACAGCTAGGGGTTCCAAGCCCCAAGCCAACAACCCACTCCCAAAAAGAATATACGCTTCTCCATACCTCTAATAGATATTAGGTAGGAGGTAGTATAACCTAAAAAAATTCTAAATAAAACAAAACAAGACAAAAATGCCTAAAAGTAATATTTCATACTTAATTGCCTTGATTTTGTTTGACAATCTTCTTTCTTGCATCTCCAGTTATACAACTTGGACAAAAAAGGCCCCCATAACCCGATGCAGCTGTATGAAAATAAATATAATATTTCAGCTGCCAATTTTGTCTCATGTAGGACACAATTGCTATTAGCGATAAAATGATACCTTCCCCATTTCTATGTCTATGGCATCTATTGCACGGTTGTTTGATTATGGGGAATGCCCCTTTCCTACTGGATATTCCTCAGGCCCCTGCTTTCTGATGAAGCTATGGAGAAGCTGCCAGTGGATGAAGATATGAAGAAAGCAGAACATAGTGGTTCTGAGTAGCGAGAGCCTTAGGTATATCCACCTTGCCCCTCGCTCCTCGAGTACCAAAGTGTAGGCAGACAATTACGGGGAGGGGGGTTCTCATGTTAATTATTATGTCAGTATAATTCTGCAGAATAAAAACATGCATTCAATAAGGTGAGAAAATTTTATAAATTAAGGATGTAACTCACATTAATTAGAGCACTGTTCCATAAAATGTCTGAAACTATTAGTGTCACTTTTATGATGATGACCAAAACATTATATTGAGTCCTCTACCATTTTCCCCACTTTCCTGATGTCCTCTCCTGATGTTAGGGTTCTTTGAGGCAATTTTGCATAAAAAACAGTTTGGGCAATCAAATGCAACATTGTTTAAATATTTAATATAGTATATTAAAAATGCATAAAATTCACATTTTATAATTGTCGGTCAAATGAGAATTTCACCTGGACCCCTTGGTTCTAGCAAATAAAAATACAGTCACTGATCAGTATAGTTCTGGGCTCTTTATTAAGTTATACATTCTGTAATTGATTAGCATATGCTTCTGGTTGATTGTTGTGATCCCTTTGATACAATGAGACAAAACTTGAATTACCACAACATAATATGCTAGTTTTGCATTTTTACTTCCTTTTAGAACACCAGTAGCTGATCACTTATATTTTCTTTCTATTTTATTTTCACATAAAACAATGTCAATGTGTGTTTGTTGATTTCTGCTTATTATTGAATTTTTATGCACAGATTCACTTTCATTTTCTCGACAGAAAATCAGCTGTTGTGAGGGCAGAAGACTTGCTAGTTCCCATTTGATGAACCTTTTCGATATTTACGATTCCCAACTTACTGTTTAATAAGAAACTTGTCAGGCATTACAAATGGTACACTGATATTATGCTATTATATTCAGTATCAATATTTTACCAATATAGTATCAATATTTTAAAGTGGCAAGGGTTTTATATGGAAACATCCAATATAAATAAAGCAAGTCTGGATGAAATCCTGACACAGCTGGGGGTGAAGCTTAATATCTCTGTATGTGAAACATATTGGCCTGGAATAAATAAGATATAAAATGCCATCATGACAGGGGCTGTCAGTCATCACAACACGCCTTGTCAATCATTTCCTGTGCCCAGTAAGAGCACAGCAGAAGCTGTCCAGTATCTCAATAAGGGGCTCGGCTTGGGCTATGTATTGTTATGCAAAAATGTTTAAAAAATGATGGCAAGATCCCTCCCTTACTCCCTCTTTTGTGTTTATTATCTTGTGAGCTTATTATCTCGTCTCCGAAGTTTGGTGCTAGTGCAGGGGTTGTGTGTCGTGGCGGGGTATGGCCAACTTGCAACTCTCTTGTCAATTCTCCGCTATTCTCAGAATACTGAGCAATCCTGTTAGGCATGAGTAATTAAACAAAACAGTTTCTAGAGGGCCTTTAAAAACATATAAACACTAAACAGGAGTTATGACATAAACTGTATGAACAGACCATGTGACAAATTTGATGTTTTAGCTACATGGCAGTGACGCATGACCATGAGCCATCAGGTGATAGAAACTCACAGCACAATTTGTATCAAAACAGAACAATACTAGTTTGGAAGAAGCATTGCGAGCCTGACTTCACGTTTGTTGGAACTGTGTCCACTTTACACAATCAGCTGATGTTTGATGTCAGTATAAATATCCATCTTTAGTTACTGAAATCATGTGATTACAGGAAAGGTGATCTGCCTCCAGGAAAAATAAGAAGAGAACAATGATAGCAAAAAAATAAATAAAATAACCATAAGTATTGTTTTACTGAGTTACACAAGGATAGCACGCAGTCAAAATATTGGGGCTGGGGTGTTATATGGGGATTGTGGGGGTAAGGTGATAATGAAGCTAGGTGTGATAAAGGGGGATTATGCTTCTCAGGGAATGAGGGGATTATGCGGCTGTGAGAATATGATCCATTGGGAGAGGGGTTAGTGAGAGGATTATGAATCTAAGGAAATATGTGGGGTGATGAGCGGATTATGGGACTCGGGTGGATGGAGGTCTGACAGACTGTAAGCTGATTGACAGAATTTCCCTTAGTAAGGAGACAAGGAACTTTTACTAACAAAAAGAAAGTGAGGCACCTTAAAGTAGTAATATTGTTATATGAATTTATCTAAAAGGATGAAATATAGCATATCTATAAACTTAAAGGGACACTATAATCACCTAAACAACTTTAGCTTAATGGAGCAGTTTTAGTGTATAGATCATGCCTCTCAGGTTTCACTGCTCAATCCAGGGCCGTCTTTAATAACGAATGGACCCTGGGCAAGTGTTTGCTTGGTCCCCCTGTGCCCTGCCGCTCTCGCCCCTCACTCCCTGGTATGCAATCACGGCATCCATCCCAACGCAGTGGCGGTACTAAAGTAGAATGAATTTTATTGGGACCCCCAATTGCAAGGTTGGACTAAAGGTAGAACCCCATCTGTCGTGCAACTCAACAATGCTTTGACAGCTGGGACTCTACCAATTTCCCATGCTTGCAGGGTTGTATTTAGCACTGAGCCATGTTAGTATGTTTGAATGTAAGCATGTGTTTGTATGGAGTATGTTTGTGTGAATGTGTTTGTATGTGGTACTGGAGTTTGAATGCAAGTGTGCATTTATGTGTAGTGTTTGTTTTTGAATGTAGGAGTGTGCTTGTATGTAGTGTTGACGTTTCAATGCAGAGTGTGTTTTATATGTAGTGTTGAAGTTTGAATGGAGGCGTGTATTTGTATTTAAAGTTGCGGCTCAGATGCACAGGTACACACTCTGACGCACAAGCAGATACACAGATACATACACTGACTACATACAGATAAACAGGCACATACACTGACAGACACACTGACACAGGTACATATATTGACACACACACAGACACAGACACTGGTAGACGTACTGACAGACATACTGACACAGGCACATATACAGACATACTGACACACACACACAGACACATACACTGATCAACATACTGACACACATACACTGACAGAAATACTGACACCCACACACTGACAGATATACTGACACCCACACACTGACAGATATACTGACACCCACATACACTGAGAAATACTGACACGCACACACACAGGCACATACACTGACACACACAGACTGATATACTGACACACACACACACACACAGACATACTGGCACACAGACAGATATACTGACACATGCATACACATGCACTAACAGACATACTGACGCACTGACAGACATACTGACACATACACATACTGACACACACAGATATACACACACATATATACTGACACACAGACAGACATACTGACACACACACACAGACATACTGACACACACACATACACTAACACACACAAACACACATACACTAACACACATACACATACACAAACACACACACTAACACACATACACTAACACACAAACACACACACTAACACACATAGACACACACATACATACACTAACACACACAAACACACACACTAACACACACACTAACACACATACACTAACACACACAAACACTAACACACACACAAACACACACACTAACACATACACTAACACACACATACACACAAACACACACACTAACACATACACAAACACACACATTTTTTTTACAAAATTTAATCCCCCCAGCCTCCTTACCTTCTGGAGTGCTGGGGGGATTCCCTGGGGTCCAGTGGTGCTGCTGACCCCGGCGGGCTGGTGGCCGGTCGGGCAGGAAGGCGGGCGCGCGAGGGAGCACTCACTGCTTCCTCTTCAGCTCCCTCGCGCGCCGCGTAGGGATGCCGGAGCCGGAAGATGACGGGGCAGGTGCCTCGGGCCCCCCAAGAGAAACTGGGCCCGGGGCAGCTGCCCCGTTTGCCCCGCGTTAAAGACGGCCCTGGCTCAATCCACTGCCTTTTAGGAGTTAAATCACTTTGTTTCTGTTTATCCAGCCCTTGCCACACCTCCCCTGGCTACGACTGACACAGCCTGCGTGAAAAAAAACTGGTTTCACTTTCAATCAGATGTAATTTACCTTAAACAATTTTATCTCTTGCTCTGTAAATTGAACTTTAATCACATACAGGAGGCGCTTGCAGGATCTGGCAAGCTATTAACATAGCAGGGGATAAGAAAATCTAATTAAACAGAACTTTCAATAAAGGAAGGATAAACATTAGATGGCTCTTTACAGGAAGTGTTTATGGAAGGCTGTGCAAGTCACATGCAGGGAGGTGTGGCTAGGGCTGCATAAACAAAGTGATTTAACTCCTAAATGGCAGATAATTGAGCACTGAGTCTGCAGGGGCATGATCTATACACCAAAACGGTTTAATTAAGCAAAAGTTGTTTTGGTGACTATAGTGTCCCTTTAATGAAGCAGTTTTGCTGTATAGGTCAGGTCTCTGCCGTTTATGACTTTAATCACTTTTGTTTCTGTTTATGCAACCCAAGCCACACCTCCCCTGGCTGTGACTGACACAGCCT